GATTTGTGATTCATCACATCCAAAGCATCTGTGCTCTTTCTTTTGGAAAAATGATCCCAATAATCATATGTGAAGTTAATGCTGCATGCGTTGCCCAGTTGAGAGAAGGATATATTAAAGGAGACAGAACAAAGCATATCTCGCCAAAATTCTTCTTCACACGTGATATTCAAAAAAAAAAGGAGAAATCCAAATTAAATAAGTTCGTTCCAATAACAATCTAGCATATTTGTTGACTAAAGCATTTCTTACTTCAACTTTTGAGAAGCTTATATACAACATTGGGGTTTGCAAGCTAAAAAATATTAAGTGATATTGTTATCAAGGGAGTAAAAGTTATGCTGTACTTTTTTTTTCTTAACCAAAGCTTTGTCCTACTGGGTTTTTCTGATAAGGTTTTTAAGGAAGCAGCTTCAATAAATATGATGGTATTGTGTACTCATTTTTCTTGACTAAGTTTTTGTCCCATGAGGTTTTTCTTAGTAAAGTTTTAATGAGGCATAATATCTGGACATCCAAGGGAAAGTGTTATGAATATTAGGATAGTATGTAGATGTCCATTACCTCAGATTTTCAATATCTGTCAGTTATTATAATATCTTTCAGTTATTATTATCCTGTATATTTTATTCACTTTAATTGATATATTTGTGCCTATAAATAGAAGGCACCTCAATTGTATTCAATACACTAAAATAAAAAAGCTCCCTATTCTCTTATTATCTCAATATAGTATTCTCTTTTCTCTTCTACTCTCAGTCTCTATTTCATAACAAACATAATATTTTAGAAAAAAATTTCTTATAATGCTAAATGGAAATAGTATCTTAACTAAAAAAGAGTTGCTTTATGATATTTTTGGGGCCCAATTATATATGGTTTTTCCAAATTTATTTTCTGCATTTACATGAGTTCAAATTTGAGATCTCATTTAAACGGCTATAGCCCCTTCTACTAAAACCAACACCTATTTATTTCTACTTTGTGATCTTACATAAGGTTTCATTTCTAGACAAAATTATTGAATTAATCACCTCTCTTAATTCGATGAGAAATTTAAAAATGACTTATAATAAGGAGAGTATTTATAAAAATGAAAATAAGAAGAATATAAGAAATTGAGATGAAAGAAATGAAGAACATAAGAGAGAATTGGAGAAAAATGAGGAGTAATATTCAATTATTTGGGTCTCGCAAACGTGTGATACATAATCTTTATCTACACAACATGAAACCATTGAAGCCATTGGAGGTTATATGAATAAATTTAGAAAACCACCCATTTAAGAACAATAGGGTAAATGGCATTAACCGGCATGAAATCTTAAGAGGCTATGGGGTTGTGGACATTCACAAATTAATATTCATAACAAAATCCTTCTTTTTTCAATCCAAAAAACGAATCAAAATCCCAAACTTATGCTTCAAATAAAACATTGAGAAACGAAATAAGCGATGTTGGAGATGAACCGAAGCGCGAGGAATAAGGGTCCTTTTATTCTATGAAATCAATGTTTTTTTTTAGGGCAAAAGAAAAAATTTGTTCCCAAATTATATTCCAAAAATGTCTGGGACCTCACGCTCATTTAATTTTTCATGTAATATTTCCTTTTAATTTTTGAAAATAATTTCTTACTATTATTAAAAGTTAACTTTGACTGTCAGTTGAATAGAAAATGAAAGAAATACCACAAAAAATTACAAAAAAAAAGAACCAATAAAATTTCTTGGTCATTTTTTATAATTTTTTTGAGTCATTGTCTTTAATTTTGAAGTCATTTACTGTAATTTTTCTTTTATATAATTTTTAATGTCTTTTTCTATCATTTTTTTATCAACTATCAATCAAAATTAATTTTTATTAATAATAGAAACTAGATTGTATGTTTTTAAATGTTGAATGAGGAAATTGCATGAAAAATGGATTTAGGTCCAGACCCTTCTTAGCTTGTTGATTAAAAACATATATTAAATATATAAAAAATGCATGAATTGTATAAAATTATAAAATTATAAATTGTAATATATTAAATATATATATTTTTTACCTAACATTATATTAAAGCCGATAATTTGGATCAAGCTCGACAAGCTAGCCCGAACTCGCTTGAAGAAAATCAGGGTCAGGTTTAAAAAAATATACTTTTTTATGTTCAGGCCTATTCGGGCCCGAGAAAATTTAGGCCAAGCCCGATCACTGAATACCCAAATAAAAAAATTTTATTTTTACAAAATATATTAAATATGATAAATATTAATTAATTAATTAATTTTTAGGTTATTTTATACTAAAATACTATATATTTGAGTCCTATACATCATTTAAGTATCAAAAAAATATATTTTATATTTTTTATAAAATAAAATAATTAATTTTAAAGTGAAAAAATTAACTAAAAATAATTTAAAAAATAAAAATTTGAATATTCAAGCCGCCCAAAGCTCGAAGAAATTCAGGTCGGGCTTAGCTATTAGGGCTTTTTAAGGAGTCAGGCCTATTTGGATATAACTTATTTGGGCTAAGCCTGAATAGGCTTGGTTCCCCGAATTCTCAGCTCTACATTATACGTGTGTGTCTGTAATATTATTGGCACAAATTACAAGATTTGATCATCATCACGAGGCAGCATGGGCCTCGGTTACAAGTAATCTTTTTCTGGAAATTCTTCAATGTAGAAATTAACAAAATATATTGCTGTGTTTTAATATTAATTCCTTACGCATTCTTCAGTCTGCTTCTTTTTAGTTGATTCTTGGAACCATTGTATAAGTTGGCATTGACTAAACCTTCTTATATAAATAATATGAATATGTGGCCAAAGTTAAGTCTTTGCTCCATTGCACTGGTTAGAGGGCAAGTTTGTTTTGCTAAAAAAAATGATTTTTAAATGTTTTAGAGATTTCATAAAAACATATTTATTATTTAATAATTTAAAAATTTATGATATTTTTGTGAATTTTTGTTTTATAATATTTATTATTTACTTATTTTTAAAATAAGCCATTTAAAATAATTTCTCACAATATACCAGAAATTTGCTTTTTCTTTCAGGTTCTGGTTATTTTTAACAGTTTAAACAAATATCAAAAAATATTCTAAAAATAGTTTTTAAAATAATAACTGATTTTCAATGAAAAAAAGATTAAACAATCTTGCCTTAAAGTCTTTAAATCATTAGACAAGTTACCATTAATTGACTCAACACTCACTAGTCTGCTCCCTCGCTCTTTCTCTTAATCCACCATGTGAACTTTCTAGATAAATAAAAGGTGAGGAAATGAAGGAAATATATATATATATATATATATATATATATGTATGTATGTATGTATGTATAGAGAGAGAGAGAGAGGCGTTAATATTTAACAGGGATTAATACTATATGGTTTTTATTGTCCAAGAAAAAATGATGAATAATCTTAGCACATTATGTGTATTCAAGATTTCCTATACAAATTCTTGCATGCAAGTTCATGGCTGTATGACAAGAGTTTGGACTTTTTTCAAGTGAAATTTAATTGCTATATAATAATTTGATTTGAACCTTTGAAAATGGAATTTCGATTTAATTGGTGAGTGAGTTTTATAAACTACTTTCTGTAATCTTAAATGTAGAAATTAATGAAGGAGTTTGTTATAATCAAATAAATATAAGATTCTCAATCTTAATTTGTCTCTAAATTTATTATATTTTCCCAAACTATATATCGTATTGATTCAATCTATAGGAACAATTTCCAGTGTAAATGATTCAAAGGATGGGTAGTTTTGGAAAATTGATAGATATTCCCTCCCTCCAATTCAAATTGCAAGACATTTTTCTAATTAACCTTATTGGTCAAAAATATTAGATACCTTTTAAAAATTATTTTTTGTCATTTTACCATTGTATTTATTAACTTAGTTTCTTGTGTAGCATGCATGGGAAGGTATCACCTCTCGTTCACTCCATTAGTTAGTTTTATTGGTGAGCTTTATATCATTTTGGCTTTTCCCTGTGACATCTCTCAAAAATTATTTACATGAATAATCTTTCCAATTTATTTCATCACTAGTAGTTGGTGTTAAGGGTTAAAAAAAAACTATGATATATTTTATTAAGAATAAGGATACAATTGAATATAGTTGAAAGATGATTACAATTTGGACTTGAGAGAATTTTTTTAAATAACTAAATTAATTTATTTAATTGTTATGAATTAATTATCTACTTCTACATTTAGGAGAGAGGGAGTGTTATTTTGAGGTAAAAAGTGCGGTTGCCTGTTGCTAACTGAAAATTAAACGAAATAGCTACAGGCTGGTTTAATTTGCAGATTCTACAATTCATGTTGTTGAGTACAAGATATGGTGGATTATGCTGAGATTTCTTATAGAGAGTTTTCAATAATTAGATATAGCAATCCTAATTTGATGTTGATTATTGTTCTTTTTATTATTATTATTATTATTATATGATAATTGTTTCTGTTTTAATATACTTTACAACGAAACTTTATGCCAGCAAGTCGATGCAAAGCTACGTAGTGTAAGTCTTTGACGATTACTTCTGAATTTCTCTTAATTTGCACATTGTATCTAAAAATCATACAATTTCCTTGTACTACACGTGGCGCATAGGTGTTCAATTGGTTATTATGCACCACAAAGTCAAAAGGCATTTGATCACTAAGTATTTATTTGAATAAAACGTACTTCAATAATTAATCTATGTGCATTCCTTTTTCTTCTATGTTATGGGTGAGTCTTTGAAGCAGCACAAGTAACCATTATTGACTCGGTCTTCTTAATGACAATTATGAAAAATTAATTATGAGTAAATAAGTGGGGTTGGATCTAAACCATTACATAAATTAGCATTGACTCAAGTCTTCTGTATAGCAAAAATTAATGTATGGATCTTCTTCAATATTCTTTAGTCACATCTATAAATTAACAGCAGCAACCTCATCGTCTCCATACCTATAACATTCCTTGATTGAGCATTATAGCCATTTAGCAAGCATGAGACTATCTCTGAGTGACGTGCTTTTGATTTTCTTTCTGCTATTTTTTGAGGCTTCACAACTCTGTTTGTGTAGGAATCTGACTGATAAGGGCTGCGTAGAAGAAGAAAGGCATGCTCTTTTGAAGTTCAGAGACAACTTTGACCATTACTCAAGGCATGTCCTCGTATGGGAAGGCAAACAATGTTGCAGATGGAAAGGAGTCAAATGTGATGGCATCACCGGGCATGTGGTCAGGATTGATCTCAGCCCAAAAACAATTCATAACTGCACATTGTCATGTGAAGCAATGAGTCCTTCCTTGCTGGAGTTAAAACATTTGAGCCATTTGGACTTAAGTCTCATTGATTTTCAAGGTAGTCCTATCCCATCGTTCGTTGGGTCCATGAAACAACTAAGGTACCTTAATCTTTCCCACTGTTTCTTTTCAGGGAGGGTACCACACCATCTAGGAAACCTCACCAACTTACAAATTATTGATCTCAATGAATTTTACGAGCACGGCTTATTTGTTTGGGAGAATCAAGAGTTATACATGGATGACTTCACTTGGGTCTCTCAACTCTCTTCTTTGCAATATATTAACATAAGGGGACTTTACATCGAGAATGATGTCAATATCATAATGCAGGCAATTTACAATCTCCCATTCTTGTTACAAGCAGACTTTATGTATTGTGGAATTCATAGCTCCAGTACTTATGGTTTTGTGAACTCCTCCACCCTTCCTTCTAAGGTTCAAGTCTTGAATCTTGGGGGAGACTTTCTTGATGTCATACCCAAGGCTTTGCAAAGCATGACATCCCTTAGATCCCTTGACCTTTCTCTTAACATTTTAATTGACTTTGATCCATTATGGTTTGGAAAGTTGAGGTTTGTAGAACATCTAAATCTAGTCAAGAATAGCATTTCTGGGTTATTCCCCACTGCTATTCAAAACCAGTCATCTCTTACATCCCTTGACATTTCTGACAACAATATTCTTGACTCAATTCCATTATGGTTAGGAGAGTTCATGTTTCTAGTGCATCTGAATCTAGCTAGGAATAAACTTTTTGGTTCGTTTCCTATTGCTATTCAAAACATAAATTCACTCAGATTCCTTGACCTTTCTAGCAATAATCTAATCTCTACAATTTTGTTGTGCTTCATTAAGAGAATTGAACATGTCAATCTTTCCAACAATAAATTCTCTGTTCTCCAAAGTTCTTATCCTCGGAATTCCAAAATCACTTGCAATCTAAAATCTTTGGACTTGTTTCCTAACAATAAATTTGAAGGAGAAACATATGGAAGCATAAAAAATATATCAGTTTGCATTAACAGTGATTTACAAGAACTGGATTTGAGTCACAATAAGTTGAAAGATCTTATAGAAAGCTTTGGCCAACTTAAGAATCTGGCGTACTTGAATTTGGCTTCAAATTTTTTAAATGGCCCAATCCCATTATTCTTTAGAAATTTGACCAAATTGGAAGAACTAATTCTTAAAGATAATCAGTTCAATGGAACAATTCCAGCATTTTTAGGGAGATTTTCCTACTTAAGGGTGTTAGATGTTTCTGGCAACCACTTAACAGGAAACATTCCTGATGATCTTGGAAAGCTCTTTAACTTGAAATGTTTAGATCTTTCCACTAACTCCTTGGAAGGCTCTCTAGGGGAAATTATCCTTGGTAATATGTCCTATCTCTGTGATTTAAGGCTAGGAATGAACAAGTTATCTATAAAGCTTGCACCCAACTTGTTACCTCCTTTTCAATTGACAAATCTTAATTTGTCATCTTGTATAATTGGGACACCATTTCCTCAATGGCTTCAAAGCCAAAAGAAGTTAGTCAACTTAGACTTACCAAACACTAGCCTTTGGGGAACCCTCCCAGCATGGTTTCAACAAGAGAATCTCTTTGTGCTAGACCTCTCCAATAATAAGATTAGTGGACAACTCCTAAGAAATCTCCATAATATGATTTCAAATTTGACCGGTATGTTCCTTGGTAATAATCTTTTGAATGGTTCTATTCCAAAATCACTGTGTAAATTGCAAAGGCTTCAAGAATTGAACTTGTCAAAGAATAAATTATCTAGGAAGGTTCCTAGCTGTTTGGGTGAAATTGAATACATTGAATTGATAGATCTATCATCAAATGAGTTATCAGGAACTATTCCTGAATCATTTTGCTGTTCTTAATGTAATTTTCAATCTTTGAACCTGAGCAACAATAGTTTGCATGGAGAGCTTTCATCAACCTTGCAATCTTGCATCTCGTTGGAGATTTTGGATCTTGGCAACAATCAACTATATGGCATTATACCTTCAAGCATATGGGAAGGTACTATTTGGCTGAAAATTCTCAGGCTTCACCAAAACAAATTCAGTGGTAGTATCTTATCAAGCCTCTGCCAACTCCCTTACTTGCAAAGCTTAGATTTGGCAAGTTACAACTTAAATGGCACAGTTCCATTTTGTATTCAGAATCTGAAGGGAATGATACATGCATTGCATAGTAGTTCAAAGGCAGCTGAAGATTCTAAACCTCCTATTGAATTATCTATCGCATCACTTGCACTTAGTCTTGCCCCAACATTTAGTCCATCATATATTCCTAGCTTTGATCAATGGGAAAAAGAAGATGTCAAGCAATTCATGAAAGGAAAGAACTTGATTTCACAAAAAATCTCAAGTTTGTAATTAACATGGACTTGTCAAGCAACAACCTTGTTGGCTTTATACCAGAAGTTCTAACTTCTCTCACTAGGCTGGTTAGCTTGTATTTATCACACAACTCTTTATCAGGAGAAATCCCAAGCAAAATAGGGAAAATGAAGTTTCTAGAATCACTGGACCTCTCATGGAACCAACTTGAAGGCCCACTTCCAAGTAGCATGTCTTCTTTGACATCACTAAGCCACTTGAATCTATCATACAACAACTTTTCAGGGCCAATTCCAGAGGGAAACCAATTCTTCACTCTTGAGGATCCATCCATTTATGCTGGAAATCAATATCTGTGTGGAGAACCTGTGTTGAAAAAATGCTCCCGCGATGACAATAATGAAGCTCGAACTTCTGAAGGCAATGATGACGACAACAACAAGAAAGAAAAGATCCTATTTTACTTCGTTGTTGCCCTTGGTTTCATGATAGGATTCTGGGGAGCTATTAGAGTCCTGTTGTTCAACAAGAGTTTAAGGGTTGCTTGTTTTAGATAAGTGGAGAAAATAGCTGATGAAATATATGTTATAATAGCAATAAGAGTTGCCAGAATCAAGAGAATATGGTAGAAATCTTGATGAGATTAATTTGAGCTTGCCAGTGATGTAGCAGAATGTTTTTATATCCATTCAAGAGTTGCAATTGAAACCCATAATCTTGATTTCATGAAACTGATCAAATCTAGCCAACCTAAACACTTGTGATTGGAGGTGGCAAAGTCCTATTTCTCATATCCTTCACAACTTGGCATCTGAAGTTGAGTTTTCTTGTTCTATTTTTGTTCTCTTGTTTTTATTCCTTCCCTAGTATTCTGCTTTTCTTGTCTTGTTGCTCTTCTTTCCGGACTTCTTTGGTCCTTGTAAGCTCTTCATTTTCATTGCTTTAAGGAAATTCAAGCACTATTCAAGTGATCAAGTAAAATAAACAAGAATTGCAGTGATTGTATGAAAATTAATTTATATTAGCAAACACTTTCTTTGGTCCTTGTAAGCTCTTCATTTTCACTGCTTTAAGGAAATTCAAGTACTATTCAAGTGATCAAGTAAAATAAACAAGAATTGTAGTGATTGTATGAAAATTAATTTATATTAGCAAATACTTTTCCTATTCCTTATTATAAGACATCTCCAACTACTTTACTGGAATCAATGAGAGGTAATTAGGTTATTAACTATGTCTAAAAATAGTATTAATCTTTTAATTTTACCCATATTTAAATGAAAATTTTTCAAATATAATTTATATTTTCTATCATAGTGAGTATAAATATAGATAATATTAAACAAATCTTAATTAATAATACAATATCAAGTACCTTATATTAAAAATCAAAAATCCCCTTAGAAGACACCCCCTAAAATAGAGTACCCATGAACACTTGTTTTAATTAGCGCAACAATCCACAGTCCATTAAATTTGACTAACATTAAAAAAATAAAGAAGCAAACATAAGGTGCAAAAATATCCATAAATTTTGTGTCGAGTAGCTTTTGATATTTTAAAGTTAACACTGGTACATGTATTAATTTTATAAAATAGGTCAACATTCTCCAATCATTTAAGTTCTATTCTTAGAACTTTACGGTCAACGTCAAGCTATTTTAACATATCAAGAAAGGTTAGAGTTGGTGATTTGGGTCAAGCCTAATAGGCTAACTCGAATAAACTCGAAAAATCTTAGGACCAAATTTGAGAGTTTAGAAAATTTTCTTATAACAAAATTCTTTTTTATTATTAATAAAATAAAAATTAAAAATCTTAATTTTTTATGATAATAAATAAAATTGTCACGCTTCAAAAATAGATGATGACTGACATGAGATGTGAACCATATCACCCATCCCCGTAAGCCTCAAATCGTAAATTAAATACATTTCTAAAATATAATCAAATTTATATTGAAACTTTAACACTTTTGACACTAGTCATTATAACAAAGCTTCAATATTTTTGTAAAATTTTTAACAAACCCTCCCCTATAAATAATATCTCCCAAAAATTCTACAACATATTGTTTTAAACAAATGCATCACATCATTCAGGAGCTCAATTCCTTCCAATCAGCAGACAACATATATATCAAATAAAATCCTAATTATGACCTATGTGGAGCCCCTATTCATGCTTTCAAAAAAATAAAATAAAATACATGAGTATTTATAATTACATCAAAAGGAGGTATTTCAGTCAACTTTGCACCCAACAACATGTAAAAGTCCTTAAGGTTTGGTAGGAGGATCAACATTAGCTAAAGTGTCTAAGACCAAAAATAATTTTTCAGTGAATAATGTTCCAATCATAATATTTAAAAACATAAAAATGAATAATTTGCAACATTTATGAAAATTAAAGAGAAAAAATTCAATATAATAAAATTTGTAAATTTGGAATAAAAATTTATGTACAACTTCAATAGCATGAACCTTTAGATTTTCATAACAAAGTAACTTTAACATATAAGCTTGACAAGACAAATAGATTAAATAAATAAATAACATTTACAATTTCAAAGAAAAATGATTAAAATATGAAATAATCACTTAATTAAAAATTTGTATTTCTGGGAATTTATTAAAAAAATTTACAAACGTGGACACACAGTCTACGAAAGTAAATAATCAAAACGCGACTTATACTACGAAGATAAACATGGACATATAATTCATGAGGATAATGCTAACTAAACGTGGCTCAAAGCCACAAAAACAAATGTGAGTATGAGACCCACGAATAACAAACGTGATAACAGAGCTCACGAAAATCAAACTAGCTAGTTATTAAACATGGTGTGTCAATGGCTAACGAAACTGTCATTAACAACCAGTGTCCTGTATAAAATTCCTTTCAAATATATTTTCAAACATATGTGAAAATCATCACTATAAAATACAGTTCTCATTCTCAAAGTCGAACTCGCATTAATAGTTTTGAGCATTTAAAACTAGTCAAATAAAATTTCATAATTAATGTCCATGTTTGGCATTTATTGAGTAACCAAAAAACAACCAGAGTTGATAAAAATAATCTCATCGATTTTGGAAGTATCTTTGGTAATGAAAAGCATAATTCAAATATCCTTCAATATCTCTTTATAATTTCCCAAGATAAAAATAAAAATAAAAACAATTTAATTAATAAAAATATTAAATATGTAATATAATTTTATTGATTAATCAGTTAGGATGTTATCCACTTACTTGATAGGTTTTCAAGATAATGATTTTTCCTTCTAAACACCTCTCAAAAGCTGTTGGCTACTCTACTATCTAGACAAGGAGAACAAATAACTTTATTTAATGATGACTCTACTTTATATATCACCAATAGACATTCAGCAATCCAAACTCCTTAAATTATTTGAGGTTACTCTTCAAACAACTCACTAAATACTTTCCCATTCTAAGTGCATGACAAAGTTTTTAAAAAAATAGTAATAATGATAGCTTAACCTGCTTTCCTTATGGAGAAGGCAAGGTTGAAATTAATCACTAATATATATATATATATAAAACCATAGATAATCATTGGTCTAAACATTAACAAATTTAAAAGAAAATCTATCATTTTTCTTTTTAGACATGTGTCAAGGTTTATTATGTCATTTTACCAACCCAAACTTTGCACTAAAATGAAGATATATATATATATATATATATATTCAAGTAATATTTACACATTTCTAAGTTATTAACATAGAAATCGAACAACCGAAATCTAATTCCAGCCATTGATATAATAAACGTGCTTAACTGCTCCATCTCAATCAAATTCCTCTATTACACATTTTAGCAAACACGCTATGTGCGTTAATGTTCAACTATAATACAAAGCTCCTTCTTTTTCAAATCTTTTCCCAATAATTTCCATCACACAATATATACATATACATACACATTCATATATAACACACGCATTTCAACAAATACCACATGGACAGTAATATTCAAACTATAGTATCAAGCTTCTTACTCTACAATTCTCTTACTCAGCAATTCTTACACTTCTATATAAACATATCATGCCTCCCAAACTCATGTCTTAAAAAAAAATCCATTCAAACAAAACTGAAATTTTTCCTAGTCTTGAATTTAAACTTGTTAGATCCACAATCTTTCCCTTACACGCACAGCAACTAATACAGGGAAAGAATAAAAATTTCAGCAACCTCCCAAAGCATAAAACACACAAATCTAACGTAAGGAAGAGGGAGGATAAAGCTTGAACTCACCAAGGAGCAAAGGAGGAATGGATAGAAAGATTTGAAGTTCCCTATCTCACCCAAAACAGTATCGACGCAGAACAGGGGAAGGAAGAAGAAGGATGGACTTATATGCAGAAACAGAGGAGGAAGAGCAGAGATTTCGTGAACTTCCCAGAACCCACAATAGCGACCGACGGCACATCCTTATTCGTAGGCAACGGACGATCAGAACAGAGGATGGAAGCTTCTCGATCCAGAGCTTCTTAAACGCATCCTCTCTCCCTCTCTCTT